TGCACTCCCCGCAATATTCGGCAGTTTTTCGAGTGCTGAGTGCCGAGAAAAAATTGATTTTAATGGGCGGAAATTAATTGCAGCAATGAAATACCGAATGCCGGAGCGCGTTTGTTGCATGCTGATTATTTCCGTGTGCCCCCCGAAATATTCTAACTCTGGGTTGGCCCTGTTGCCCCGTTTGCAGCCAAAAAACGCGTCGCCACACAATCGACGATGATTAATACGGACAATGGGAAGCGGAGGAATTCGGTGCGGTGGGCTCCAAATTGGAAACCCAATAAAACACTCAATTTATTTAAATTGCATGCGATTGACAATCCGCACAATTGAGCACAGATGCACTGCCACCAGCCACACACACACACACACACACACACTGAAACGAACTTCAAAAGAATAGTTCTTTTTTCCGGATTCAACCCAACAGGGTTCATAATTTTGACTTCTCAGGGGGTAACGAGTGGCTCGTGGCATAAAAAAAGATGTATATTCAACTGTGGTGGCACCGCTCGGAGCTCGGAGCTCGGATCTCCACAAATTTCAATTCACCCTCCTTTTTCTCGGTTAGGAAAACCTTTTCGGGCGCCGTTTTCCCCAGTGCAAAGTAACTGAAATTCATTTCATTTCATTCCATTTCACGGGGCTCTTCCTTCTCTTCCTTCGCCCGACTCCTGTGGGCTCCTCCTGCTCTCGGGTATCCTGATTAGTTAAGCAGGACACGTACCGCTTGCCAAAGCAAAAGTGACAACAACAAGGCGGCTGCAAAGGAACACTCGAATATGAATGACAAGCGCAATTCGAAATCCACAAAAAAACGAAAAGACGAAATACGAATATGCCAAATAAAAACGCAAGCAAATCCAAGTCTAAGTCAATCTGGAGAGATAAAGAACAAATAATACCGATTGATCGGGGGAAGACAGGCACTTTAAGAAATCGAAAATGCTGATTGGCCCCTCACATTGCATAGGTTTGTATTGTATTTAACATGTTTTCCGCTCATTTGCGTACGTTTAAAGTGCCCGAGACTTGAACTCCAAGTCACAACTCCACGACATATGTGTGCCCTTTACTTCTAGTGTAATTTTCCCCTTATTTTCCGTTCGCTCAGCCATCTTCTCGTTCCCGGCACAGAATCTCTGAAGCTGCGGTAATTGGTGGGCGTGCCGGAGGGCCTCCCCCTCCGGACAACGCCCCACCATTCGAAGCACTCCCAGCACTCCCAGCATCCCATTTGTCATAAAACATAACTCAGCAATTGCCCATGCCCCACGTACGCCCATCAATTGTCATTTTTATCAGCGCACCATGTCGCGAAATGCTGATTTTTGTGGCCTCCATTGGATGGGAATGGGAATGGGACACGGGGAACGGGGACGGTTCTGTTTGTTCGCCCTCAAAAGAACACAGGAGACACCTTTTGGGCTACTACATTGAATCTAGTGCGCACACATCTCAAATGTGGCTTGAATGCTGCTTGAGCAACTCCATTGAAGCCTTACGGCTGTCTTTGCCATTTACAAACACTTGCCAATGGGCACTTCTCGTACGAAAGCTTGAATTCCTGCTCCAACTTTCGTTGGGCTCTTCCTAAAAGTAGGCTAGAAAGTGTATCGAATTTTTCTGAGTTCTGTGACGCAACGTGGCCCGAGTCGCAGGAAATAACCTGGAAAATATGCCGACAACTCGTTACAATGCCAATGCAGTGCGGTAGTGACTGGTGTTCTGATGTGTTTTGTTTTTGGATTAACACCATGCGAGAAATCGTTTGAAGTTTTCCACATTGATTTTCACCTCTGCAGCTGCAGCTTCCCAGTTCCAGTCGCCCTCGTTTTAACTTGGCTAATCAAAAGATTACCTCTGCTGTGTGTGGGCGTCTTTGTCTGCGGTTGATTCCACTTCAAAGCTGCCAAGCTGGAAAAGTATCGTCGGCCGATACTTCTGATTTTGATTTTGACATGTGTGGGAGCAGCCATTGCGGCATTTCGTAGATAATTCAGCTTAAAGCCGCTTCAAGGCAACTCAACTTTGAGTTGAGTAGAGTACGAGCAGCAAATTCTTGGCATCTTCAAAATTTCTGGGTGCGAAGAATGAAAGGCTTTCTAGGTGGGTAGGCTACCTTATGCTGTGCACACTCCTCTAATTTCTAATTTGATGTTCACTAGCAACAGCAAATTCGTTGTTTGTTATTGTAATTACGAGTTTTCCAGGCCATTTCCCGTTGATTTTCCTTGTGGGAAACGGACCGAATTCCTATGCCTCGCATATCTGAATGCTCATTAATAATTAGAGTTATGCGAATGCAGAGAGGACCGAAGCTATTAGTGGTGGACTCTGCCTCCTCCCGGAGGTCTCATCAAGCCCACACAATCTTCTTCTTCCCCCCTGCAAATAACCACGCCCCCCTGTTCCCGCCTTCCCAATAATGTTAGCTTTTTTCTGAGACTGGCTCGCCTTTCGCCTCGCTTTTCCAACGGCAGCTGATAAGAGTGTTTAAAGTCGTGGCTGGGGCGTCGTTAGTTTTGCGCCCGCTGCCCCTTCCCAAAGCTCTTTTCCACCCGCATGTGCATCCGGGCCCATTGAACACCACTGCGTATACGCAATATTTCAATGGCACCCCCAAAGTAATGCACAAAACAGCGCAGGGGGATGGGTGGGGTTGGTTAGTGAGGGGAGAGCACTGACAGAAAGCCACTTATTTCGTTTCTTTTGAAGATGAAACCATGTGGCAGTGGCTCGCATGAAAAGAGAACAACTATTTCAAGGCCCGATGCATTCGAGGTAGCCCACATTTTCTCTGCGTGTGGCGATGGCCTGGCCAAATAGCATGACAAATGCATGCAACTAAGCAGGACGAGGACTCAAAGGACGAGGGGCGGTGGCCTGTTGAAGGCAAACCGAAAAACATGGCAGCCAAGGGACAAAAGGGGGTTTCGGGGGGGGCAAATCCGAGGCTTTCGAGGGGTGTTATGATTGTTTCACGAGCTGACAAATAGAGCAACATGGCCGTATTCTCCCGGGAATATTTATGCCCCTCCCCATTGCTCCAATGAGCAATGCGTGTTGGGTGAAGTGGGTCGGACCGAGAGGTGATGGAAGCGATGCCCGGCAGAAAAAAGCCAAGGCAATGGCAAAAATCATTGGAAAAACCGGGATATATTTCACGGCGCCTCTAAATTCATTTACCTGACCAGCAGCATTTACCTGGCAACTGCCGCCGACGACGAGTTCCCATTTAATTTCCTGTGCAATATCCTCTAATCAGCCGAAAAGTGTGCTGCGAATTCCGGCTCCTCCCCTCGAACCCTCCATCGAGCATCGGGGATATATCTATCTATCAAAATTAGTTTTTGATTAGCGCAGAAGAAGGAGAAGAAGAAGAGGAGGAGGAGGAGGAGGAAAGGAACAGCCATTTACTTGGCACATTTATATTTATCAAAATCGCCTTCTCGCCTGCTTCGCCGTTCCTTCTGCGACTCCTCCTTCGAGAAATATTATTTTCTTCTTCGTTCGACGTCCTTCGTCCTTCGAAACGACGTGACATAATTAGCAAGGAGCGGAAGGTGCAGGGCGAGAATGTATGGCGCCGTGTCCTCGGCATAAGGGCGTAAAAATATTAATTTCCACTTAAATGAAAAATTATGCTCAATTTGAGTTCCGACGCAGCAAATAAATTTTGCCCATAAATTTCCAAGCGCTAATAACAATAACAATAATAATCAGCGACATCACCAAGGGGGCGGTGGGCGGTTTTTTTTTTTTTTGGGTGAGTCTCCAAGGGGGCGGCGGTCGGAGAGGGGGGCGTGGCAGCTAATGCCCGGCTATCGCTGGGCGATTAAAATTCTGTTATTAATTAGATGCGCCCGGTGTCGTGTAATAATTCACGGCTCATCTATACTCACACGCACACACATGTGCTGCACGAGTGTGTGTGTGTGTGTGTGTGTGTGTGGAGTTGTTAATGTGTCGGGCATTAATGAAAGCGAGTGTGTGTGTGTGCCCGAATCAAGGGACAATTAAAGCACACAGAAACGAACAGAATGTCCTTTAAATCGGAGCAATCGAAGGGGATTCGTAGTTATGGTAGTGTTGGAAAAGGTTTAAAGAAGCGGAAACGATTGAAGTGCAGTTTACCAAAACTGTCCAGGAAAGGTTTAGTTTGAAACATTTCAAGGGTTTCGAGAGCGAGCATTTTGAAAAGAGCAAATCTGCAAAGGTGGAATTTGAGTTCCAAACGATTTGCCCTGCATTTGGAGCAGAAAGTAAACAGCTCTGCCGCGTTTGGGCCACCACACCCCTCCGCCAGCCAAAGATGAAGTCCCCCCTCAAAACACCAACTACGCCCATGGCCGAGGGCCTCTATCAATTTCAATTGCGACTCTGCCGCTGGCAGGGTAATCAGTTTTTCGCTTATGGCCGCTAACTTTGCCCGCACACAACGAGGTCAAATCAGACACGACACGCCCTCAGCCGCCCCCCTTCGGCGCCCCCTTCGCCGCCCCTGGAAGTGCGCTCGTGGAGCGGGAATGCTGGATAACTGGGCTGTGCAAAAAATGAGCCCCAAACCGATCAACTTAACTCGAAGCCCACACAAATGTTCTGGCACTCTCGTCAACTTATTTGGCCACTACTATATTACTTATAATATTTTCCAATTTTGTCTAGGGTTTTATTTTCATATTGTCGGTGCTCAACACTTCTGTTTTTGGGCTGGGCGCTTTTCTGTTTCTGAAATGGGCGAGAAACGCAACTTAAATCAATTTTGCTGCTGCCACTGGAGCTTGTCGATTGCTTTGATGTTGTTGTTTGCCATTCTGTGTTTTCTTTTTCGACTGTTTTTGTTAAGCAAATAAATGGGCGGTATAAAATAACAGAAGAGCAGCAAAATAAGTACGATAAATAAAGTGCAAACAATGCCTAAGAAAAACATTGCCGGCAATCGGTTCGCTCATTGATTTTCAACTGTTTACCCTCTATTCCCTGCTCTCTATTTTCAGGTGAGTTGACACACACAGATTTCGAGTTCTTTTAATGGCCCGTGTAAACTGGATGAGCGATGTAAGTCGTAGAGTTGTACACACCGCAGAGCTAAGCTCTATTTGACTTCCATTCCCTTTTGTTCCGTCACACAAACGGAGGATATACTGTACGTTATATTCAATTTATTTAGTAATGCTAATGCAGGCAACATTTGCTCTGGCATCTTCCCCCGCACTTACAATACTCCTTGCAAACTACGCCAAAGTCTATTTTCGTTCTCCCCCATTAAATTTATTCATTTTTTCACCAAGCTTCCGTATATTTTCCAATTTATTTCCTCCTCTTGAATTACTTTTGTACCCGTTACCTGTGCAGTTCAGGGGTATGCTGCACTTGCTGAATGATTTGTGACAGGTGAAGGTGCAAGCTGTATACATTTCTCTGATTGGCCGACTCAATCGAGATATCAGACACTGAAACAACCGAAATATTGGGATGGTGATGAGTACACAGAGAAATACGTTTGTAATTTACCATTGCAATTGCTCATCTGAGTAAAGGGGATGTGGCAGTCGAGGCACTCGAGTGTTGCTGGCTTGTTTCGAAGACAGGTGCGGCAAGAGGTGAATTCTTTTTTAATTAAAAACAAGCCACACCCACCGCAGAAAAGGAGCACGCAAAAAATTTGGAAATATAACAGCTAGAAGTAGTGTGGTGTATAAAGTTATAAACCAAAAAAAAATTCCAGCTGCCCGAGCGTTTCTCCTGTTTTTCTATATTTCTATATTTTTCCGGCGACAGCTTTTCATTCGGCCGTGGCAAACCCCTTTCATTTCCATTCCCGGCGTCCCAATGAAGCACTTTCTAGCTTAATGCCTTCCTAATTGAAAGTTGCAAAAATTACAGGTGGGCGAAGGGACAGCCATAAGCTGTAAGCTGGGGGAGAGAGACGGCGGAAAGTTTTTGCCCAGCAAACCGCAAATAATAACAATAAGAAGCAGGAGAGGCGGCTGCGGAGAACAAAGGAGAAGAGGAAAACGGGAAAAGCGGATGGGCAAAGCGGGGAAAGCAGCAGGAGGTACTAGGAAAATTCTACAGCAGCCCAACAGCTGAAAAGCGGAGAAAGGAAACGAAAGAGCAGGAATTATAAAAGAGGAAAATGAAGGAAAAATCTCTCTGTAGAATACTTTATGGAATCATTTTCAGACTGTTTAGATTCCATTCGGAGTCTGGATTCTGGATTCTGGATTCCGGATTCTGGATTCTACGCCACTAGAACTTAAAATCTAATTGGAATCCCTGAAATATTTGTGATCAGTTTCTTGTGTGACGTGTTAAAATTGAACTAGCCAAGTAAGCTGAGGACTCTGGAAGCCAGAAAACGATGCACAGCCATTGCAATTTGACCGAGATTTCAACACAAATTATTTCCCGAGGCAGTCGAGTGGTACTAATGCGATGCCCTTGACTGCGCCGCCGAATGTTGAGGTAGGCTAAGCGGATTATCTTCTGGCAAATGCACTGGAATCGTGTTTGCAATCAGGTCACCGGCCCCAGACTTCCCCGAACCCTCGAACCCTTGAATGCCGAACAATCCGGACCTGTGGCAAGTGCCTATTAGGCGGGGGCCATCTAATTAAGTGGGCGTGGCAAGTGATTATAATCGCCAAATCGGCCCGAAAGCACACAACAAACAACAAGCAAGCCGAAAATCGGAGAATAGGAAATCCAGGTCCGATCGAAATTGATTGCCGAATCGCCGATTAAGGGCCGGAAAAACGGAGAAAGTGGAGAAAGTGGAGAAGGTGCGGGTTGGGTCGCAGCAACCCGGTAAACCGGGTGGTGGCCTTGTCATCCGCTTTGCACAGCAGCTTTTCGGGGCGATAAATTATTTATATTAAATTTCGCTCTAATTAATGACAAATAATCGGAGCCCCGCGGCTGCAAATAATTCCATTAGCCGGAAAATGGAATTCGAATAGGCAAACAAATCGCAGTGCTCGTAATTTATTATGTCAATCTGCGGGAGGGTCGAGCTTATCAAAAATTATAATGCGTTGACGGACTTAAAGCTCGCGGTTCTATTGGCTCCGAAAAATGCTAAGGTTGCCAAAAGTTTTTGTGTTCCTTTTCCGATTTACTCGATGTGATACAATATTCACATTTTGCAATCCGACTGATCCGACCGAATCTTGACTTCGCCGACCTCCTTTTCCGTCGCCTCGGGTTGAATAATTCACTTCAACACTTCTGTTTGGGTTTATTCAATTAATTTAGTGATTAATTGGGGCCTCCCACTTTCTCACTTTCCCACTTTCCCACGTCCGCCAAGTCAACAGGAGACGAAAACTTTTCAAATTGTCATAATTATTCAAAATTATTTTCGGCCAAATTAGAGTGAGCCTGTTGCCAGCCGCATTCCCGCTTTTCCGTTTTCCGTTTTCCCGCTTTCCCGATGGCGGTTCCAGGACATTTGCTCCTTTAATCACGCCTCCTTGATTAATGGCTCGACGGCAATTGGCAGGAATTTCTGTTTCCAGGAGGGCAGGAGGAGGAGGAGGGGCGCCAGGAAGACCAGAGAACCAAAGAACCAGTCCGAAGCGCTGCCAAGAATTTTTGTGGCCCAGCCAGAGAGACAGGCGACAATGAGGCGAAATTGTCGCAGATTTTTCTCCTGCCCCCTCCCCGCTCCCCCCTGTGCCCCCTGGTCTGCGGCATCCAACATCCCAGTATCCAAGTATCCAAGTATGCAACAGCAGATGGAAAGCGGAAAGCTGGGGAAAAGCCGGGACATGCCAAAGGTAGCTGCCAATTTATTTAGCATTTCTTGTGTGATTCCTTCCCTTTTGTCTGTCGTTCAGGCTACTTCGTACCCTTTCGAGGGGACTTTAAGAGATAGAGGAGTATTTGCTATGCATATAGTACAATATTTGGTATAGCCTATACTCCACCAGAATCGCCTTAACCCAGAAAGTACTCTGTAAGTATTACCCGTGCGGATTAAAACGTCAATTTAATAGGGTGTGCATGCATCAAACTCAATTCTCCTCGAGTCACTTTTTCCACCTATTTTTATTCTCGGTTTTTCGGTTCTCGCTCGTTTTTATCGCGACATTTTGCTGCAGCGACTTATGCATGTACGAGAGTTCCGTGGGGAAATGTCGGAGGTTTTAGAATTCCTGCATAAATCGCATCGATACGAAAAAGTGCAGAGCGGTGGGGGGAATTTCCCCCGCTATTCCTCGGCGGTCTTGGCCACGTTTTGCGACAACCCCGCCCCCTGGAAACCCCTGAAAGCCCCGCCCAGTCTGGTTAGCCTGCACGTGATGTGAAAGAATCGGTATCCCAGTTGAGCCCAGGACGTGTCCTTCGGCTCCTGGTGGCAGCTCCCATTCGGATCCCAGCTGGAGTCCTGAGGAGGGTCGGTGGGGAGAGCACTGAGAGCAAATCAGTGGAGCTTGGCGAAAAAGATTCGAGTGTTTCCATACCCCTTTCGATTTCACCTCTAGGTTTCACCTTTACTTCCCTTTTTCTTCACGGAAAATCAAGTGTGTGTGTGTGGGTGTGTTTTAAATGTGCCATAATTCCATTAATCGCACAGCAATTCTCCTCTGTGAACTCGCAGAAACCCAAAAACAGGTCTGGAGCTTTCTGCGGGAGGAAGTTGGCCAGGGCATGTGGTTCCGCACTCCAGGTGAGCCCACGTGACAAATGGACCAGTTGCGAGGACTCAAGAATGCGGAAAGGCGGGAAAGGTGCGGAAAGGAGTGCTCTCCTACGGAGGAGGAACGGAAAGGAGCCAATAAATTCAAGCTAAAGCTTGTACTTGTGGCATTTTTACTCGCATTCGATCAGAGAGCAGGCGTTTCGATTTCTGCACTCACTCCTTCTTGGGCTGCAACCCAGTCAAGTGGTCTTCAAGCCCGGCAAAGAGAAGCTCTACTCGACTTTAAGCCAAGGTTCGGTGGCCTCCCGGACTTCACCAGCGAACGAACTCCACTGATTGACTGCCGAAAGCGAATAACTCAAAGTTTCTGGCGAACTTTCCCTTTTGTTCCTGCCATTTCCTTTTTATGCTCCCTTGTTTATTTTTCGGTCTCGGCTTCTTTCCTTCTCGCTGCTGTGGAATTGGGTCTAGAATTTATTTTTATGACTCACGCACTTCTGCGGCTTCCGCTTAGCTGCTGCTCCATCAAAATGGAGCCATCAACACCTGCTTAGGGCGAGGGAAGCCGGGCAAATCGCGGGGATCAGGGGGGATCAGGGGGGATCAGGGAAATCAGGGAAATCAGAGAACATTCGGGGAAGTGAAAGTGAAAGTAAAAGGGCCAAAGCGGGAAATATTTATTTCGCCGGCAGAGAAACTTGGCTTTGAGTTATGGCCGGCAGTCGGCGAAACTCAATTTGAATAAATTGCTGAAACAAAACTCAAACTCGCACATATGCACTGAAAAAAAGGGGAGTGGGAAGGGGTGGCTGCGTCACACACGCCCACCGATAAATAAATAAGTCTACACTCAACGAAACTCAAACAGGGAGAGCGAGCCGTAAAAATCAAGGGTAAGATGAGGGAAATTCAAGGAGGGGGAAATCGGGAAAAGGCAGGAAAACGAAAAAAGAGGCAATGACTTTTCCCCGAGTCCATCGGGCCTGACAAACTTTTCGCGCAGCGACTTTAAAATAAAATTTACAACATGCAAAAAGTACTTTCCCCCTTCCTGCGTTTCCTTGGCTCTTTGTTTGATTTTTTGCTTGGATCTGCAATTGCCAACAGTTTGAAATGTAAAGTGTTCCGCCGGCGATGAGAGGGTTTTTTCTGCTCGTATGTGCGAAGAATCAAGGCGCAAAAATTTGGCAGACAGGCGGCATACTCGCTGTTGCGACCTCAATCCCCAGTAGCCGCTGCGGAGTCATGGAGTGCGCCATAGCGACTGCTTACTGTAGCCGAAGAGAGCAGAAGCAGAAGCAGTAGTCGCCCACACGGCTTTTAAGCTTATTTACTGCTTATATATTTTAACACCCCCGTCCTGCAGCCCCTGGAAACTGGCACAGCTTCCCGCGGATATCCCTCGCAGTGC